TTACTTTTAAGATGTTTTAAACATAGTTTCTTTCTAGCATGACTTTTAAGCTTCTAAAACACACATATATAAAAATTTTACATATAAATTATTTGTTAATCGCTAATAAAACACACCAAGCACGGTATCACACTGCATTTCTCGTCCTCGCTTTCGATGAAAAAAAAACCATATTCGTTGTTTACAGTGAACGGGCGAGAAACAGGTGAAGCTGCGGCTAGGAAAGCGAGGTGGGACTGAACTGCTACAGCGCCGTGATGTACTGTAGCGCTGCTGCTCTGCTATGCCTGTTGCGCTGCTGCTTTGCATGCTTGGGCCAAAGGCCCAAGTCCTGCTGCTGGGCTGCTTTGCTCTTTTTCCTCTAATTATTGCGGAGCGTCACATGAGGCCCTTAATTAGACATCACTATCATTCTCAGTTCAATTAACACCAGTTCTTCTACATATACTCTTTTTAGTCATCAATAAATCGATATGCAAGCTTCAGTTTTTCTGCATATAATCTTTTTGAAGTTAGTACAATCGCAACTATTGAAATACAACAAATAAGATTGTACTAACCTCGATATTTAAAATTAAAGCAACTTACTTGCCCACAGTTATCAAATACATCAGCACTCCGTCACCTAACTTAACAGATGCTCAGCACCATTAGACCTAACAACTTGTCTAGAATACATATGAATGCTTAAAAAATCATCTAACTACTCACACAGTTTGGTCAGTTCGCCGAATGATGTCTTCCTATCTGGATGCCTTGCTCTCTTGTTCATACTCCTCATTCCTTGACTGATGTATCCATTCCTCCTGTCAGAAAGGAAAAAAAAAACAATCATAACATCATACTTAGACCATGTGTTAATTTTCCTTTTTCCATGGGCTTGTCAACTCGAAGCTTAATTCCTACTGTTAAATCCTAGTCAAATCAACAAAAAAAAAACATAAGCCCAGCGAGAGAACAATAGAAACCTTGAAAGGGTGTCTAGTCTCACCGCTCACCAATTTGGTAGGAAATATTGCTAAAGTTCTGAGAATAAGTTGTCCTAAATCCTAACAACAACATCTTATCGCATCAAAATTGCTGGCATAAAGACTCTATTTAGCAAGTTTGGGCTTTCTTTCAAAAATCTGGGTATTAAATCTACCTGGATTCTGGAACAAAAACTTACTGGCATAATACAGAAAATGCTTACACTGATCGCATAGGAATGGGTTTAAGAAGGCAAAATTTGCTACAGGACACCCAAAAAACGTATAATTAGCTATGGGACACCGCAAAAACGCGTATTTGCTATAGAACATCGCAAAAAACTGGACATTAGCTCCTGGACACCCGTGTCATTATTTTATTATTTTTAGAGGAATAGGAGAGAGAAACAGCTGTGTAAGTACGGTTCTACCCTTCGAATTATTTTTCTTTATTCTTCCTTATTCTTCTCTTTCTCATTCTTTCTCTCTCTGCTATTTCTTCAAGTGAGCCCGAGGCAGAGGGAGAGCGCTGGCGACAGCGTGGGCTGGTGCAGTGCCTCGGTTGGGGCGGCGCTGCACGGTCATGCGGGAGGTGGTGGCAGAGCTAGAGGCCAGGGCGGCGCTGGGGCGGCGCTGCGCAGGCAAGGGCAGCCGGGCTCGGCAGCGCAACAACGCCAAGAGCGCGGCTGCTCCAGGCCGACTTCAGGAGGCTGGATCGGATGGCACCGGCGCCGGCGCGGCGAGGCTCAAGCCGTCGCTGCGGGCGCTCTTCTCATGCGGGATCTTCAGCGCCTGCACGCATCTAGCACTCAGCCCGACGGTGACGCCCAACAACAATGTCGCATGCCATCAAGCTGGTTGTGGAGGCGGCGTCGTCGCTGGTTGTGGAGGCGGCGGCGGAGGTGACGGCGGATGCAGCAGCGGGCGGCGGCGGCTGCTTCGATGATGGTTGACGAGCCCGACGACTGCAGTGACGGAGGCAGCGGCGAGCAGCGCTGGGAAGCGGGCGGTGGTGATAGTTTCAATGATGATCAGCGAGCTGGCGACAGCGGCTTCGATGGTGACGGTTGGCGAGCGGCGCTGGGAAGCGGCTGCCAGCAATGGGGATTAGATAGAGCTAAGGGAAATTTTGTCTTTTTGAAATTTCTCTCTCCTCTTTTTGATAAGAAATGATAAAATATTGTCTCGGGTGTCCTATAGCAAATTACACAAATTTTGTGGTGTCTATCAGCAGCGACGCAAATTTGCAGTGTCTCCCAGCCAATTACACAATTTTTGGATGTCCTAGGGCAAATTTTGCCTTTTCATTTATATTAGGTCAATGCTCCTCTGATCCCTCTCCTTCAGGTTGTGCCTTGTACATAGTTGTATGCCTTTAAGCAATATCTTTCTTGACGATTGATCTTTTGATTGTTTCTGCAAACTATTTGGTTGTGAATTTCAATGTTAGCTACTACTACTACAGTTGGTAAAGTACATGTAGAACAGTATCCAGAAAAAAGAGAGAAAATGAATATGTAAACGATGCTGCAAATGGATGCATGGTCTCTCGAGCTACGTACAGCCTAGAAATCAAGATCAAATGGGCCCCTTTGTAGCTGTGAACAAAGCTCATTTTTATGGCCCATTACTACATATTCGGCTCTGTGGTCTGAGAATTGAGGCCCATGAATGTATTGTTTAGCATTGGGATTAGATTTGATCGCTCATATGAAATCTGGCCCGTTATAAATGTCGATATGCTAAACTATGTACTTTTGACTCTCAAAACCTTGCAAACTTCTAATATGCATTATTGGGATCTGTGCTCTGGTCAGTTTCCCAACTTCAATAACGTTGATGAACTCCGATGTGGGTAAGGGAAGAGGAAGTTCCCCTGACTGGCCTGGGAGATCGGGGAGGTGGCGGCCTGACGGTGGGTAGCGTTGACATCGCTAGAGCTATGGGATTAGCTAGACGGTGGGTAAGGTTGGCGGCAAGGGCAAAAAATAAAAAAAATGATGGTCGAGTTAGGAAGCGACAGGAAGTGACAGTGTATTCGACGACAATAACCACCGGAGATAGGTAACTAAGATGTACTCCCTCCGTCAAAAAAAAAATCAATTCCTAGATTTCTGTGTCTAACGTTTCTCCGTCCGTCTTATTTTAAAAAAATATAAAAAAATTAAAAAGATAAGTCATGTATAAAGTATTATTCATGTTTTATCATCTATCAATAATGAAAATGCTAGTCATAAAAAAATTCATATAAGACGGACGGTCAAACGTTGGACACGGAAACCAAAGAATTAAGTCTTTTTGGGACAGAGGGGTAGGTGCAACAAAATTTAAAGTCCGTGTTGGCAATATTGGTGGATGAAGAAACCACCGGAGAAGGGGGTGGGTGGGGGAGAGGATGATTGTGAAGGAGGTTGTCATGCCTCCACAATGTCGGGATGACACCATTAGATCAGATTTTTGGAAAGGCTCGCCTGAATTTTCACCTGTGTGTGTTTCAATTCCTCACCTGAATTTTCATTACGGAATCTGTGCTCTAATTTAATTTGTTACACATGAATTCTTATGAACGAACAAGCTAGGATAACTGCTCCAAAATCGATACGAAAACTAAGAAACAATTAAAGGGAAGACGTACTCACGTGCATATATAGCTGATAGCTTGATCACTATGCAGGATATATGTAGACTATATATATTCGCTCTAGCCGTTGATCTGATCAGCATCTGATCGCTGTGCTGGAAACTGCATCGATCGGTAGGACGTCTGGATATACATATATCTGCATGCAGTTAATACGGGGGGAATCCATCGATGGATGCTTCCAAGAAACTAACTTTTGCCGGCCGGAATGGTCGACCAAAGTCCAATTATATGTCATCATGGCATATATATGCACGCCAGCAGATATAGAATAATGGTCAATATATAACCCGGTCACTGCAAAATGGATTAATCAAAGTAGCACAATTAACTTCATTTGTGGTCACTATCAAGCTAGAAAGAACAATGAGTATATACACATTCGATCGGCCATTATATATTATTATATTCGACGGTGACCAGCTAGCCGTCTGATTTCAGCTGATTGATATGATCAGCTGAGAGACCATCTTGCTTATCATATTCTTACCGACCTTTTCAACTACTAACATCGATCTTCCTTTTCTTCTTTTTAGGGAGAAAGTAACAAAGCGGAATTAAGAAACCGTGCGCGCTCTCAAATTAAACCAGCGGCAGCTCGTAGTACCTAGGATCATGCTTGGCCACGAACTTATAATTACTGTGTTAAGTAGTGGCCCCTACAGCTACTTGTAGCTTGTTTCGCAAGGCCCTTCATGCATTTACTTAGTAGTACTACTGATTATCATATCAAGGGTGTCTCTGTCAAGGATGATCTGAGCTTGAATCGATCTATGTAATCAGCAGTCATGCATGATGTTTCTGTGTTGGTGGACGCCACGGTTTTCTCCCTCAGCTCATCGTTTCAAACCGAAAAAAAAGAATGGAATCTTGATCAAGATTCTTAAGACCTAATTACCACTACAGCCGCGACCTCGATTTTGTTTTCTTCCGGCCTGATCCAACAGGCATCGCAAGTTAAGTACGTGGTTTTCATCCCCATCAATTCAATTCTACCCAAATCAAGTCTTATGTTAACGGCATGCGTTGGTCGTCTAATTCATGCTGACCACTAATTAAGTTACTGGCTAGTAGCTTAGCTACTGACAACATTCTTTCTTAAAAAGGGAGATCTATATACATTCATATATATGTACATGTGTGTGTCGCTTTATTAAAGTGGATCGATGAACCGACGAAGAAATTAGGTACCACAAATTAAAGGTAGCAGTACTGCCGCCATTGTGCCAAAAACCAGCTAATTAACCATCGGTTTTCACTAATCAAGCACAATCATGCTACTAATTACCCTTTTCAACCTATAAATTTATCACGGTCAGATCAATTTTTCTAATTACTTTAAAGATAATATAATAGTAGTAATCAACCCTATAAATACACAAGGGGTGCAACGACCATGCATGTATAGCAAAAACACATTTCCAACATTCGGTCTTCACTACTAGCTAGTAGTGTTTTTTTCCTACATATATAAACAATAATTATTCATTGACAGGCATCAAGCTAGCTAGCTAGCCAACTGTCTGCAAGAAGAAGAAGAAGAAGAAGGTGCAGGATAAATCGATGAAGAAGGCGTCGTCGCTGTCTGAGCTGGGGTTCGACGCCGATGGCCCGTCATTCTTCCGGCACCTGACGCTGACCGATGGCGACGACGGCACGCTGCCCCGGCGGCGGCTGATCAAGATCTCGGTGATCGGCGCGGGCAACGTGGGCATGGCCATCGCGCAGACGATCCTGACGCAGGACCTCGCCGACGAGATCGTGCTGATCGACGCGGTGGCGGACAAGGTGCGGGGCGAGATGCTGGACCTGCAGCACGCGGCGGCGTTCCTCCCCCGCGTGAACATCGTGTCCGGCACGGAGGTGTCGCTGACGAGGAGCTCGGACCTGGTGATCGTGACGGCGGGGGCTCGGCAGATCCCGGGGGAGACGCGGCTGAACCTGCTGCAGCGGAACGTGTCGCTGTTCCGGAAGATCGTGCCGGCGGCGGCGGAGGCGTCGCCGGAGTCGGTGCTGGTGATCGTGTCGAACCCGGTGGACGTGCTGACGTACGTGGCGTGGAAGCTGTCGGGGTTCCCGGCGAGCAGGGTGATCGGGTCGGGGACGAACCTGGACTCGTCTCGGTTCAGGTTCCTCCTCGCCGAGCACCTGGAGGTGAGCGCGCAGGACGTGCAGGCGTACATGGTGGGGGAGCACGGGGACAGCTCGGTGGCGCTGTGGTCGAGCATCAGCGTGGGGGGGATGCCGGTGCTGGCGCACCTGCAGAAGAACCACCGGTCGGCGGCGACGGCGAAGAAGTTCGACGAGGCGGCGCTGGAGGGGATCCGGCGGGCGGTGGTGGGGAGCGCGTACGAGGTGATCAAGCTCAAGGGGTACACGTCGTGGGCCATCGGCTACTCCGTCGCCAGCATCGCCTGGTCGCTGCTCCGTGACCAGCGCCGCATCCACCCGGTCTCCGTCCTCGCCAAGGGCCTTGTCCGTGGCGTCCCCGCCGACCGCGAGCTCTTCCTCAGCCTGCCCGCTCGCCTCGGCCGCGCCGGCGTGCTTGGCGTCGCCGCCGAGCTGGTGCTCACCGACGAGGAGGAGAGGAGGCTTCGCATCTCCGCCGAAACCCTCTGGGGATACTGCCACGCCCTCGGCCTCTAAATTCATTAATTACTACGCCAACCCGTTTATATATGCCCATATATATATGATTAATAATCGTCGTGCTAATGCCTATCGATCGATATTATGCATCATCGTATATGTCGGTCGATCGAAGCTTAATTTCATGGCCGCCCGGGTTGTAATAAGCTACTATTCTCATTGTGTGATTAATTAGCTCTATTTCTCTGATTGAGCTAATTATGTGTAACTGTATACACATTGTGTTCAAACAATAATGGAATGAATAAAATTGATTGAGACAAATATATGTACAATATATATATAGTACTGCTCAACGTAACGTGTCTTGTTTACTATTGTCATCAGTATTCAATTTGTCAGACAATTAACTATAAGTTTTATCATCAATCATCATAGAAATATGTGCTTGTGGCTTCTGACCTAGCTTGTCGAATGAAGTTTAAAACAAAGTGCATGCAAGCTAGCTGCGCAGCGGATATGGAGGGCACTACTACTACGTACTCAATCGTATCGATCACTACTACCTCCGTTCTAAAATATAGTAACATTTTTTTTTTATTTTACGTAAAAGTTAAAGACTGTACCTTGTAATCATCATTATATTAATGATGGTCAAGTGTGAGAGGTAAATAGCCGAAACACAGTGGAGAACAGAAAAGAGTGGTACAGATTGCACGTCAATATATTAAAAGAAAAGAATATTTGATCATCCGTCTTATTTGAAATTTCTTTAAAAAATATAAAAACATAAGTCATACATAAGGTATTATTCATGTTTTATCATCTCATAACAATAAAGATACTAATTATAAAAAAATTAAATAAGATAGACAATTAAAGTTAAACACGAAAACTCATGGTTGTGCTTAAAATGATACGGAGGTAATGCATGCATATAGTACATACCATGATGAGTACAGTATATATATATATGGTATTATCTCCGTCCTAAAATATAATAATTTTTTGTTTATCCAGATTAATAGCTAAAAATACTTATATTTTAAAACGGATGGAGTACTTAATTAGTACACGAAGAATTACATGATGAAGCTGTAGGCAGGTCACATCACTCGTGTATATACGTATCTATGTGCAACCATGAGCACTCACAGTACTGACTCACGCTCGCACGTTTTGTACGTATACCTACCTACTACAGTAGCTCTCTGCAAACTTAATTTTATTACACCAATTAACACCACTAGTAACAGAATATGCCATAGGTGCCGGTTTGCAAGTGTCTATAGGTTCCGGATTTCCATCCGGCACCAATTAGTCAGCACCAATAGCAAAACCCGGCACCTATGCAAAAATAGAACCGGCACCTATAAGTTCACACGAGCCAAAAAAAAAAAAAGAGGAAAGAGCCGGCTCGAATCGCGCCGAGCTCACCAACTGCGTCACCACGCCCCGCCCCACATCGATTGCTCCCGGCAAATTCATCCACAAATTCACAAAAAATCATCCACAACCACACAACCATACTCCATGTTCATCACCGCCCTACTCGATCCCCTTCATCACCGCCTCTCGGATCCGAGATCAACTCCAACAGCAAACTACTATATTTATCAAGAACTAGTAAAATACTACAAAGATTAATGAACTCATGCGGGAACTCAAGAACACTCAAGAACCTTCGTCCTTCTCCCTTGGGTTGCCTCCGGCCTTCTTCCCCTTGAGATCTGCCGCTATGGCACGGCCGCCGCCGCTGTGGTGCGCCGCAGCTGCCTCCTCCAGGCAGCCGCCGGCCGCGGGAGCTCGCCGCCTCCCCACCGCCTCCCCTTCCGCAGGATCTAGTGGAGGGGAGGGCGCAGCCGCCGCCGCCGCTGTCCCAGGCAGCTGCCCGCCGCGGGAGCTCGCCGTCTCCCCTCCCGCCAGATCTGGCGGAGGGGAGGGCACAGCCGCCGCCGCCGCTGCCTTAGGCAGCGCGCCGGCCGCGGGAGCTCGCCGCCTCCCCTCCCACCGGATCTGGCGGAGGGGAGGGCGCGGCCGTCGCCGCCGCTGCCTCCGCCAGGCAGCCACCAGCTGTGGGAGAGAGATGCGCCAGCCGCTGCCGCAACCCTTCGCCCGCCGCCTCCCCTCTTGCGCCACCGCCTGCCGCGCCTCCCCTCCCGCCGGATCCGGCGGAGGGGAGGGCGCCGCCGCAGCCCGTTGCCCGCCGCCTCCCCTCCAGCAACCGCCACGCGTGCTGAGAAAGTGAGAGAGCCGAGAGAGATGGAGAGGATCGGATAAGGCTGATGCGTCCTCATATAGGGATGAGGCCGATACGTCGGCGGCTCGGTGGCTCGGCTCGATTTGGATAGGTGCCGGTTTTTAAAAACAACCGACCGGCACCTATAAAAAATTATAGGTGCCGATTCTTAAATTAACCGGTACCTTAATTTATTATGGGTGCCGGTTCTTTTAAAAAACCAGCACATATATTATAGGTGCCGGTTCTAATGTCCTTAAAGATGCCGGTTTCATATTTTTCCACCGTAGGGAGGTGGGAAAAGCTCTATAGGTGCCAGTTTTAAATGAACCGGCACCTATGAGCCGGTCTGTATGAGGGTTTTTTTTAGTAGTGCACAAACCCTGGCCTGGTAATTAAGCTAGCTAGCTAGGGAGCACTATGTATGCATATGCTCATGACATGCACTTCACACGCACATGCCCCCCACATGGGGCTAGTCTAGTTTATTAGCTAACTAATGGTAATGGAGTGGTACGGTACTGGTACGAGTAGTACGTAATAAGAGCTTCTCTAATTGTATAGAGAGAGTAATTAATTGTAATTAGGCACACTTGAAGCCAGCAGGGAGCTTGCAGCCGCAGTAGTTGAGGAGGAGGGAGAGGTCGACGGGGACGTCGAGGTTGAGGCCGAGAAGGTTGGCGTTGATGGCGAGGCAGACGCAGACGGCGGCGTCCAGGTCGGCAAGGCCGGCGATGAGCGGGCAGCAGGGCTCCTTGGGCGGCGTGGACGCGTGGATGAGCCCGTCCAGCACGTCGGCGCACACCCCCAGCTTCACCGTGTTTATCGGGCACTTCCCCGCCGGCGTCGGGCATGGGTGCCCGTCGCACGCCGCCGACTGCCCGGCGCTCAGCCACAGCACGCCCACCACCAACACGCACGCCACGCCGGCCATCTTCACTGATGCAGCCATTATATTGCTATCTACGTACACTACACACTTTACAAGCTCTACCACAAGCTACTGTCTTACTAATTGCTACTGTTCTGCTTAATTATGACCTCTCTCTCTCACTATTGATTTATAGGGCAGTCCTTTGGAAGGATCAGTTTAGCCATCATCGATCGAGTTAATGCCACTGCTAATTTTATTACTTACTTGTTGCACTAGAATATATAACACTAACTGCAGACCTTCAAGATAAGATCGATGATACATAGATTAGTGCTGCAAAGATCGATCGATCTGGCGTACGTATACGTACATGGCCTACATACCCTCAAGACAACAGTAAGGTACAAACAACCTGATCGATTTGCTAGCTAGCTAGATATATATCGTCAATATATATAATCCCTTAAATTTAAGGACTTGTTTATTTTGAGAGAGAGCGGCTTAATTTAATTACCATTTCAACGTCCCGTGTATAGTGAGAAATCAATTTAATTAAGGCGATCGTGTATACCATGACATGATTAATTAACCGTGCCTAGCTTACAGCAGTTAGTACTTTTACTGTAAGATATCGAGAGTGCCCAATTGATCCATTCATTCGTGACGGTGTTGCTGGGAATGACGAGAGAGGAGGCGTTAGGGTTAGAGGTAGGCGTACAACACACGAATCTTAAAACGATGTAATGGTCTGAAATTTGTAAGATTTTATGAAATGTTTTACAGTCAAATGCCATTAAGGCAGTCTCGAAAGAAAAAGAACGAAGACAGAAAGAAAGCCAAATGGTCTTGTCTCCGCTTTAAAAAAAAATGGTCTTGTCTCTGCCATAACATGAAAGTGAGTCAAACAATTAATATACTGTATATATATAGTCTCTGTCAATCGCTAATATAACTTCACAGGAAATGTTTACAATTAAATTACGCCCATATCTTCACTACTAGATATGGGGATTATATTGTTGAAACTAAACTACGGCCCGTGACCTTTCTTCAGCTGCCGGCCTAATATCTCCAAACCTGAACCGGATACGGACACCAAACAAGATCAAGTTCTCATATTACATCACAAGTCCCGCCACATAATGACAGACCACTAAACCCGTGATTAATTGATATCGAAGGCGAAACATAACTTAAATTACACAATTCACCTCAAACTCGGCATTCGCATTAACAATTGCAATACACGTCAATAATTTGTATATACTTATAAAAGATATGGATACAAATCTGAATTTCGTGGGCAAATTCTAAAACATTAATTTACAAGAAAATACTAGCTGACATCAATTGATAGAAATTAGGGAGCAAAATCATGCAAATTTATATCATTCCATTTATGTTATAAAACTAACACTGAGATCGACTTTGGTAGCAAAACATGGAAGAACACCATAAGAGATCCAAACATCGAGACACGATATTAAATTTGTTAACATGGCTAGCCAAAACGTACATTCCCAGAGCACTTGTTACAGACGCTTCTCCTTGATCATATCACAGTGTATCAGATGTCTATGACCCTCAACTGGCGGGTGTGACGGGACGACGGTGATGCCACCTTGGCTGCGAGGAGTAGAGTAGTGTTGATGGCGAGGTAAGTTTTACATTGGAGTAGTTAAGAGGCGGAGGCATGTGCATGCGTGGTGGATATGACGGTGTAAGAGAATCATAGTGAGAGAAGATAAAGAAGTGTACTGAAGTACGGTTGCGAGAAGGATGTAGGTTGATGTCACGCCCCGAACTAGTCCCGACCGGAACTAGCCCGTGACGCTCCAAATTAACCTGTTAATCGATACCAGTCTGACGGAGCATGAGGCTCCTCACCGGGAGACCGCGCAGGCCCCCCTTTGCCGGTTCGGCCGGGGGCCCTGGGTGAGATTCTAAGCTCTTGGTCTGAGTGTGGAAGGTTCGCGAGAGTGGAAACACACAAGACACGGGCGATGTATACAGGTTCGGGCCGCTGAGAAGCGTAATACCCTACTCCTGTGTTTTGGTGGATCTGTGTATGAAGAAGCTACAAAGTGCGAGCCAGCCCCCGATCGTTCCCGGATCGTTTTTTTCCTCCCTTCTCTAAGTGGGCAAGGTCCTCCTTTTATATCTCAAGGGGATACCACATGCACCATCTCTCCCTCTCACTTCTCTTCTCTTCGTTAATGGACGGAGATTTGTATGGCTGCCGTCCGAATGACCTTCTGATGGGACGGCCCATACCTACCTCCACTTCCGCCGGAAGCAGGCGCAACGTGGGAACATGGCTGTCTGCTGACGACATGACCATTGTCAGACCGGTCACAAATCGGTCACTCTTGTCCACCACGTGTCAGTTTAACAATCTGCATGTTCGCCCTTCTCCATACAATATCTTGCCTGTAATGGTTAGGATGAAGCCTGGCGTATATCTGACCGGAACCAACGTGCCATCTCCAGGAGGTAACACGCCGGCTCCGGCTAGGGACGAGTGCTTGGAGGCTCTCGTCCTGACGGGATGGGGCGAGGCGTACGTCAGACCGCCTGTCGCCACCTAATCCACGATTTGACCGGTCTGTGACTGATCACAGACCGGATGAACGAGCGCGCTGCACTGCGTTACATGCGGCGTGACGCGCTCGTCCAAACCGCAATAAATGCGGTTAGGTGAGCGCCGCTGCGCTCACCTAACCCATACACGCGGCGCAAAATCCACAAGGGGTCGGGGCACCCCAGCCCTCGGGGCCGAAACGGGAGCGGTCCGACCCCTCGGGGAGACAAAGAGAAGGGCGGCCGTATCACCCTCGGGCCCGACCCCCTCCTCCCGAGGGGGTTAGGCCACGTGGGTGATCGTGTCTGCCTCAAGTCTCTAAGTCATGATACTCCCGGTCCCATGTCACCGACAGTAGCCCCCGGCGTTATGCCAGGGCGATCGCCCTCCTCGAGGGAAGCGGTCGGGCGTGACGCCACTTCCTAAGGCCTGGTGACAGGTGGGGCCGGTCTAAAAATCGGGACAAGCCGGTTCGTTTTTCCTGGAGATATGGTGATGGCGCTTTGATCGGCGAGCGTAATTAACGCGCGCACGAGATGTTCCATCTCGACTGCCACAGCCGCATATCCACCTCATGCACCGAAAACGGGCGAATGGGATTAGTGGAAGCGTGGGCGCGAGAAACGAGGGGGCAAGATAGTGGGTGCGAGAAACGAGGAGCCGGGCACAGCGTTGGCAAGGGTATAAAGTCGCCGAGGAAGAGATTTGCTTCCTTCCTCTCGCCATTATTCCCCTTGTCTTCGCCGCTTGCGCCCTAACTCCTTGTTTCCTGTACCCTACCTTCGCCACACGCGCTCGCTCTTAAACATCTCTTCCTCCGGCGTCATGGCACGGGGCTCCGCTTTGCTTGATGGTAGCGTGCTGCCGCCTTCCCGCATCGTGAGCGAGAGGCAGGCCGGGCTGCCGCGCCGCTTCATGCCGGAATCTGCCACCGGCCGGGAGATAGTTACGCTGGGCGAGGGACGCCCGGCGCCATGCTACCCGGGGCGGTCCGTCTTCTTCCTCACTTTTGCAATGGCAGGGCTGGTTCCGCCATTTTCTTCTTTCTTCATGGATGTTCTGGAGTTTTACGATCTCCAGATGGCGCACCTCACCCCCAACGCGGTAATGACATTGGCCATCTTCGCGCACCTGTGCGAGATGTTCATCGGGGTGCGCCCATCCCTTCGGCTGTTCCGGTGGTTCTTCACCGTACAGTCGGTGTCGCCGCCGTCGGTGGTTGGTGGCTGCTACTTCCAGCCGCGGGGGCCGGTGTTGAACCGCTACATTCCCTGCGTCCTCCGCAAGAAGTGGGATGACTGGAAGAGCGACTGGTTCTACACACCCCTCGCCGACGAAGCGCGCCTCCGACTTCCGAGCCAGCCCCCGGCGCAGGCCTCCAGCTGGCGGGCGCCGGTAGATCTGGGAGATGGCTATGACGCCGTCCTCGACCGCCTGGCGGGCCTGCGATCCCAGGGGCTCACAGGGGCCATGGTGTTCGGCGACTACCTTCGTCGCCGGATTGCGCCGCTCCAGCGGCGCGCTCGGGGCGCCTGGGAGTACACCGGGTCCGAAGACTACATGAGGACCCACCAGGGGGTCAGATGGGACTGGGCTCCTGAGGACTTCAAGATAGTGGTCCAACGGGTGCTGAATCTCAGCTCTGTGGAGGCATCCCTCATTCCTCAAGGAGTCCTCCCCCTCTGCAGCGATCCAGACCGCGCCTCCATCCTGACCATCATGCAGGCGGTCGGGGCGTCGGAGGAGCGGGCTCCTCGAGGCCACGATGGCGCGGGCGGGAGCCGCAGGGGGGAACAATCTACCCCGGGAGGGGGTCGTGCTTCTGGGCCCCGCAACGGGGGCCCGGGGAGCGGCCGCCCTGCCGACGCCCGGGGGAAGAGGAAGCAGGAAGGAACCCCTCCCCCATCTCCTCCCCGAGGGGGCGGGGTGGCACGTGCCAGCAGCAGGCGCCCGGAGGGGGCCACGCCGACGTCGCAGCCCGAGGGGGAGCGGAAGAAGAAACGGCCCCACAAGATGGGGGGCACAGAACCATCCCGGGGAAACCTTATTTCCCCTCCAAGGTGGTCGTTTAACCGACCCCCTCGCAGGTTCGTCCCACGCCCATCGTGGCCGTATTCATTCCCTCAACGCGAGTTTTCACTCATCCATCTTGTTTGTCTTCTGGTCTTTCTTCTGTTTCAGCGAGATCCCGTCGCGTCCCTCCCGCCATTCCAAGTCCGGCCAGTCTGAGGCCGAGGACCCGGCGACCACAGAGGCTCGGAGGCGGGAATCTGACCGGCGAGAAGCCGCGGATCGCCTACGGGAAGCCGAGGAGGCCGCCCAGGTGGCCGTCCGAGCTCGCCAAGCTGAAGAAGCCGCTCGGGAGGAGGCCAGACTTCGCCAGGCCGAGGCGACGGCATCCTCCGAGGCGACCCGTGAAACTGACCAGCAAGAGGCCGCGGATCGCCTTCGAGAAGCCGAGGAAGCTGCTCAGGTGGCCGTCCGAGCTCGCCAAACTGAAGAAGCCGCTCGGGAGGAGGCCAGACTTCGCCAAGCCGAGGCGACGACGACTTCCGAAACAGCTCGCGACGAGGCTGCGGGCGCATCGCTTGGGCCCACTCCCTCGTGCGACGCTCGGGACAAACCAGGTCCGGGGGACATCCCCGAGTCCGGCACGTCCATCGGCGGGCCAAGCCGCGCGGCATCCTCTTCGAGGCGGCTCTTCCCCACGCCTTCCGTTGCTCCACTGAGCGCAGAACCCCTTCTGCAGGCCTTGGCAGTCGCAAACACCATGGTGTTGGACGGGTTAAGTGCCCAAATGGAGGCCTTGCAAG